ACCCTAAGCCAAGGACTTTTCAGTTTCCCGTGCTCTGCCAGTGAGGAGATGCACAAGAAGCTGGGAGGGAGCATGGCCAGGACAGCTGACCCCAGCTAGCCAAAGGGCTATTCCACACCATGGGACGTCACACTCAGGCTGGAGGTGGATCGCTGCTCGGGCATCGGTCAGTGGTGGTGAGCAATTGCACTGTGCATCACTTCTCTTTTTTGGGTTTTATTTCTCTCTTTGTTATCTTCCTTTTCATTGCCTACTATGATTATTATTACATTTTATTTCAATTATTTAACTGTTCTTATCTAAACCCATGAGTTTTATCTTTTTTTTTTTTTTCTTTATGACTTCCTCCCCATCCCAGCAGGGGGTAGTGATCAAGCAGCTGCGCAGTGTTTAGTTGCCACTGTGTTAAACCACCACAGTCCTTTTTTGGCACCCAACATGGGGCTTGACAGTTTGAGATAAGAACAAATCTGACTGGAATGTGTTAGAACAAATTTGTTATAAGCATTCATTATATTAGTTCAATACTTGCTGGTCACAATGTTGATTTATTTGCTCTCAAAGTCTGGCAGAGCTTTTTATAATGTTTGTCATGCTACATGTTCAGGATTAATTGTTGCCAACAGATTATCATCTTCATTCAAATTAAAGATATTAAATTAATACCATGGGAGTTTCAAGTTCACTGGAAGGTAAAACTGGATTTGCTGCAAGACAGCCAGAACTTGCTTTAAGATTATACAAAATCCAGTAGGGTATTTCTGTACCTATATTCACCTCCTGTGTAATCTAGAGCAGGGAAAATTAAGGCAAAAATCAAACACATGCTTTGTATCAAGAATTATCAAGAAACCTTTGATGGTTCAAACAGAATAACAAAAGCAATACCACACCAGCTGGCCACCAGAAAGACTGAAACCTAATTAGCGTACAGGCATGTATTAGTCTCCAACCAACTGCTCCAATAAAGCCTTTCCTTTTATATGTAATACTTAACTGAACTACACTTTCAGTGCTGAGAGGACCTATCTAAAAGCAAAACAAAATATTCAGAACATGTTCATATTTAAACCACAACAGAAAACCACCTCAAACACTGAGCTTTCAACTTTTAAGAGCTGCATTTAGGAGAATTTCAAACAATTTTTTATAAAGCTATACCCAAGTTAATTTACGAGGTAAAAATCAGGATGTTAAGATCAGTGCAATGCTATATTTCATGCTTTCTGATCATGAGGCAAAACGAAAATTAGTAAAGCTGATGCCTTAGCATCTTACTAACCTCAATCCACAGGTCTTTTGCTTCTTTGTTTCGTATTAGTTGCTGGGTAGGGATGGGAGAAGAGGAATAGATAAACACAACTTAAGTAGAAATTTAATTAAATGTCATTTCTCAATAAAATTTCTTCACAAAATACAATTGCCTTGAATCCAAGAAAACATTAATTCTAAATGTTATCATTTGTTGCCCCATTGAAAAATGGAGAGTATGGTTTTGATTGTCTCTAATGCATGAAGTTTACAAGTGAGAAAGTGTACATTCCAAACTAATTGGTGTCAAACAAAATGTTATGATACAAAGAATTACAAGTGACAATAGATGTGAAATCATGATCAATGCCAAGAGACCACAGATACGTCTTAACGGCCGTCAGCTTCTTGACAGAGCCAAATTGTTCAATGCCAAACCATTAACTCAGTTCGATAGAAGCTGCCCTACAAATGGAAGGTCGGTCTCTTCACCTGAAGAAAAACAAAGATATACTGAGATGGCCAAATGATTTTAACTTTATTATTATTAATAGGTTACCTACCAGCTAACTGAAGAGCCAAGTAGGAAGCTGCTGAACACATCTAATCAATTCAAATTAGAGCATCTTTAATACAAGTTATTACAAATCCACCTCTTGAACTAAGAAGATTATACCTAGATGGGCAGATTGAACAAAGTTGATGAAGTAGAATGTACTGAGAAACATGCTCTGAAGGAAACTGGTAAGAGGGATAGGAGGATAGATGTATATAAGCACCTAACACTCATCTATTTCACTTCCATTTGACAAAGAAAGGTGGAGAACTGGAAGGTACACAGTACCTCTGCTGCAGCAATGCCTCTGTGCTACTAGCTTTGTTTCATAAAGTTATCCATCACTGAGAAAGCACGTCCGTAACACCTACAAATGACCAAGTCGGCAAATGATTTAGTGGTTCAAAACTAAACAAAGATTAAAGTACTTTTTTGATATCTCAGTCAAACCTGAATCTCCACAGAGAAAAACCTGATACCTCTTGAGCAGCTCCTACCATCTTCTGTTAGTGGAAATTTGTTTTGTTTTGAGAGAAGGCTACTCTGCATAAATACAGAGAATAAAGTTTTGTTGTATAAACTGACAACTAAAAAAATATATGTATCTTCAAAACTATGATCTGAAACTCCTAAGACAATGAGGAAAGACTGCCTAGCACACTTCACAGACAGAAAGGCCCTTCCAAAGCACGTTGAAAAGCTAGTGCAAATACTCCAAGTCCTTCTGGTTTGTCACATGCACACAGAGTAACTAATTCAAAGGACCTATGGCTAAAGAGTTGCTTAAATTACTGCATTTGACTGTATTTAAAGCAAAGCAATCTCAGATTATAGTAAAACTGAAAAAGTAAAACTAGTTGCTGACAACTCAGCTACCACAGTGCCTTCCTCAAGAGTACTCAAAAGCCCACTTTCTGCCAACTGAAGCTCTCCCAATTTCTTAACTTCCTGTTGTAGCAACCTCATGTATTTCCCATCAGAAACAAGATTCTGGCAATACAGCCGGGTGATACAGGGCTTGAGAGGTCTCTTGCGGGGCCTGCACTGAAAATCTGTACCTGGAAAACAGAAATTTGAAAAGTTTCCGGTTTGAAGTTCTTAAGACACTTTTGTGATACTGGTTACACGTTCTTTTGATATACCAGACACCAGAGATTGTACTGACTGTATGAGAGGCTCCATGCTGTATTTACAAGCAGTCACAACACAGGTAGTGCCTGTGAAGACAGGCCAAAAAAAGCAGCATCAATTTATAAATGTGAATACATACGGAGGAATTATTCTGAGTAATGCAGCTCAAGCCCCTTTAATATGGTAAAAATGTCCATTCTGGTTGGAAAGAGAAAAAAAATAACACAATAAAAACACTACTACTTTTTAAATTCTGGAGAATACAACTACCCATGAGAGTGCTAAATGCAAACAAACCTCAGTAAACAATAACGAGTGTATAAAAATGCAGTTTAATCTAAATTTTCCTGGAGCTAAATGCTCCATCTCACTTCATACCATGAAAGGGAATAAGAAAAAAAAAAAACAACCACCAAAACAAAAACTTGCTCACAAGGAGGGGAAATATTTTAAGAAGTCATTAAAGCAACAACTTTCCCAAAGAGAATAAATCTGCAAAGCAGCAGCAAAACAAGCTGGCCTGTCTATTTTATCAGAGTTGGGTTTTTTTCGTTATTACATGACAAACAACTGGCTTCCAAGCTGCCAATTATTTAACCATGGTGAGACTTTTAACTCCATTTAGGAAGGAAAAGTATAGCTGCTGTAAATTTAACACTGCAGAACAGCTGCCTATGAAATTTACTTTATATCCTTTTTTTATCTCTGTCTCTACTGGTCCCATTTAATCAACACACACAGAGAAAATGTTATCTCTTGTGCTGGTTGAAAGTTATTTTTGTCGTAGTCAAAACATTACAAATAACTTTGAAGTAACTAGGTAAATAGCAGATAACATGATTCTACATTACCATTTAGATGGCTCTGTTTCATCACAATTTATGTGCACAATGGTTTCTTTCCATCAGACACAGCATTTTATATTGTTTGTAGGAGTGTAAACTCTGCTAATTACTGCAGGTCAAAATTAAATAGAAACCTGATTGATTATTGTTTCCAATGGTTTAGATATTGTTCTCACATTCCAAGTGAGCACCAGGAAGTGGCATACCAGCTACCATTTTGACCACCATGTTAACTCAAAGCTTGAATTATATCAACACATTGTTTCTCCTCCCCTCTGAGCAAAAAGATCTTGCACTGGAGTTATTAATCTCTGTAATTTAATGTAGTTAACTTACCAATGAGTCTGTGAGTAAGTGTAAACTTTACCACATTAATTTCTCTAATTCATCTCTGACCTCCACCTACTCTCTCTAAGATCTGAGAAAATTAGAACATAACATGAGTCACGATAACCACAATCCTTCTGATTATAGACCACAGAGTTTTTCAGGGGTCACTGAAGCCCCGATTCCACTCTTTATGGAACTGGATAACTGCCAATAAGGGCACCTTTTGAATACACCAACTATTACAGAACCTTATAGTTAAAGTATGCTTGGAGAAAAATTCACACGTGCCTTTTTGTACTCATTTTAAGAATATTTCAGTTAAAAAATTAAATAGACTCAGGTACAATAAGGAATGCATAATAACCAAATGTGCAATTATACTGAGGCCACAAGCTTTCTGGAAAATGTTAACTGGTGTATGTCAGTAAAATGTAAGTTAGTAAGCATCCTTCTCAACTGCGTGAAGGATGTTAAATCAGAAGAATGCTGGATTTCTGTAAAGTATGCTTGTTGAATGACCACAAAAATATACTCCCTTTTCTGTAGCTAACTAGAGAAAGCAAGGCACAGTCAGACAAAGGGGCTATTGACCATTAATTATTGACTTCAAAGGGTCAGCTCCTCAAATGGAGGCTCAGAGATCTTTCTAAATAAATGATGGACAGAAAATCATGTCTCTCGTCCAGAAATACACTACTAGCATCCAAACAAACAAGCATTCTGCTTATACTGTTTTGTGCATGAAGTAAGATAAAGAGTATTTCTCAGCTTAAGGTGGTCAAGGCTGACTAGACAATTGTAATTTTAAAAAGCAGAAAGTACTAAAGAAAAAGAAAATTAATTTGTAATAAAAGTCAACCGCAAACAATTAAGAACTACACAAAAACTCTAGCTAATGAAAGATGTTTCCTTCTTTATTATTGTGTAATACTTCTTTCACAGAAACATGGTATTTACAAATATACACATATAGACTGCTGATCATAAAATGGTACTGAAGAATTAGTCAAAAAAATCAATTTACAAAACCCAAAATCTTTCCAAAGATATTCTGGCTGAAAAAGTTTAATGAAATTTCAAGGAGACATTTCTGTACAGAAAGATAGGTTTTAGCTCCTTGAGTTCTGGTAATATTAGACGGGTTGTGAACCAAGTGAGCTAAGCTCAACTGTACATTTGAGATGAGGCAGTTTTTTCTATATTGTTCATTTTCACACAATTTCTTGACGGTCAGTTCAACAGGTCTCAGGAGGCACTAGTTTGTATGTTTTTGGAAGCCGCAAGCATTGCTCTCACTTTGGCCATAAGATCCTGTAGAAAATAAAAGAAAAATGATCAGACGTGCCTGTGCTTTCAACAAAGCTAAAGCATGTGATTGCAAAAACCTGCACAAAAGGGTTATCTTACCCTCCAGTCACACAGAATACTTAGATTTGTGATCATCAGATATTAACAGTCCCTAGGATAAATGAGTGAAACAATCTGTAGAAAGTTCCTATGACAGCAACTGAAGTCTGTTTTTACTACAACACTATGAAGTGCTCTGCATAAGTATTTAGAGCAGTTTTTATACAACAAAACACAGAAACCACATTAACCGAAATGCAAAGAAACTATGACCATATCTTCACAAAAACTGTAATGAACACACAACTACTAACCACTGAAGGTTTAAAAAGAAAAGGCAGAAAGCTGATAGGAAGAGAGTGCTAACAATTAATCTGTAACAGAAAGCTTTTTCGTCTTGCTTTGCAAACCTGAACCAAAAGATTTACACAGCAATGGTATGTTTATGTATGACAGTGACTGAAACATTAAGACTGCTGTGAAACCAAACAGCAATATTCAGTCTTGTCTGAGTATCCAGTGGGAACAGCATTAGGAAAGAAAGGAAATTTCATGTAAATGGCATTGAATAATTGCAAAAAAAAAAGATCACAAAATAAAAAGTGTCTATCAGTAATGAATTAAAGTTACTTAAAACATTTCTTCACAAATGCAATATAAATTAATTAGAATCCTTAGTACTTCAAAATAAGTTTTTATCTGACATTCTCAAAACACTTCGTGAGGAATTCAGCATCATTATTCCACTTTGCAAACGGGAGAAACTGAATGAGAAAAGATACTGAATTGGTCAGGGTCAGCCAGCACATTGGCAGCAAAATAATCTTGCTAACAATTAGGTAAATTACATTTCTTTGGGCCCTTAAAAAGATGCTAAACTAATATATGCTGGGAAATACCTCACAGTTTCACAAAAACTTCACTCCATTTTTACAAATAGTAACTAAGAACTGTAATGTTTCCTCTTACATCTGCACTTCAGGCAAGCAGTCTAATATTACACTAGCAAATGCTATGCCACAAGCAATATTCAACCCAAGAAATGCATGAACCAACGACCTTTGTCTGAAGGGTGTATGTTTTTAAAGGGTGGAATGTTTACTCTACTTTGAAGACCATGATGTAGTTCACATGTCATTTCTCAGACCAGAAATTTCCATGTATTTGTTTGGTAGTCTAAGAAGTGCTCTGGCATTAGTACTCCAGTTTCTTTCTCTGGTGTCTATACTTGCTATTTTCTATTTTCCTGAATATTCTTGTTCCTTGTTTTCTCATTAAAAAATGAATCAAATATGGTATGTAAGGTACTAGTCTACTAGTATTAATCCCCAACTACCACTGTTTCCCTAGTGGAACTAAATCTCTGAACACTATTAATTTATTGAAAGAATAATCTACCCATTAAAAAAAATGAGAAGCAACTCTGATTTTATATTGTAAATTTTCCATAGCATAATTAAGAGCTTTTCTCCTCTAAACTTGGCATATTCAACTGAAAGAAAGTTAAATATGCATGAAGACTCTAAGAGGAAGAGTGAAACTAGAAATATTAAAAGAGTGATACCATGCAGTAGCTTTTAGAAAAGGAATGGAATTATTTTGATGGAGGTTAGGTATCTTAAAACTGCGTTAGAGAAGCTGAATGCATTTAGATTATTGCACACAGAGGCACATACCTGATATGCCATGATTCACAGCAAACTTGGATATATCAACAAAATCATAACAACAATAGTTCGGACATATAAACAGCAACAAGGGTGAGATATGTGAGCTGACGATTCTGCTTAATGCAAAACATACACTTCAGTTTGCAAGAAGACATATATTTTTCCTCTACTGCCAACACTACAAACAGCCTTTGCCAAGGTATTTCTCCTTCCTTCTTTCCTCCACAAAACTTAAGAGCACTACATGGTAAGATGGGCTCTCAGCAATACCAACTACTGGTAACTGAGGTATTGTAGCATAACGTGGACTTTCATACCTTAAAAGTGGATATACTGCAGCATAATGAATTTACCTTGATCTTTAGGGGTATGATTAAACTTGAAAGGACAGTAGCTAGAGAAGCAACAAAATTGGTTTTCTCATAAGCAAACAGATTGACAACAAACATGTCTCTACATCAGATGCAAAGCTCAGAATTGTACAAGGTAGCAAGAGAAGAAAACAATATGATAGACACACTTTCTTAGGCAACATACTCTGAATTTGTTTATTCGTACCTGAGTGATTTTACTCTGCACTGAAGACACAATTGCTGAAGAGATTTGGCCATCTTTTTCCTGAGAAACTCCCCTAAAAATCAGAATTAGAAATTTATAGTAAATCTTTTAAAAATGCATTTCACTCACCATCACAATTTTGGGCTTTATTGTACAAGTCTCTCATATCTTTAGTCAACAGTTCTTTCATCCAACTAGAAGCCATGGTAAGTCACAGTCAGAGGAGTCACTCATACAACTGAGACAGAGAAATCTGAGCAGCAGTCTAGGAATTTTTAATAGGACTGTTCTACATCTGTAGAAATAATTTAATTATGAATCTTGCACATACGTTACAATTCAAACCACCCTATTAGGATTCTACTTCAAATAGTTATCCCATTTAGTGAGAGTTTCCAATTTCTAACTTAGAATTAGGTTGTACAATTTTCTGCACCAGTTTCACTGTGAGAGTATGTCAAGATGTTTACTCCAGTAGGCAACAGAAATCCAATGTCTTCAGAGTGAAGCACATAATGCTGTCCTCCCAGTGTCTGCTACTTTTAACATGCACACATTACACACACACACACAGAGCTCCTCACCACACAAGTTGGGTCAAAAGACAGAGTCAGGAGACATCAGCGGTGCAGTATTACAGTAAAAGAGTGTATTACCTGGAGCGTTCCTGGCTGGATTCCCTGCTCTCCACAGGAGAGACACTAGTTGAATGTACAGAATTTTTGTGTGTGGATGGTTTGCCTGGTGACATGGATGGTGAAGGAGACCTAGCTTTGGACTTGGTACGTGATCTAGACCGCCTCTTCTTCTTCTTTTCATGGGGACTTCTGCAAAAAGAATATATCTTACTGAAGGATATTTAAAGCAGTATTACATTAGCTCAGTTGAAGTTACTTTTCACACTTCTAAAACCTTATGTAGCCCTCTTCCACAGGATACTTCTCATGAATTCAGCAAGGATTAGAGTCTTACCCCAATATGTCACTTCTATGGCTGTGCAAAATACTTGCTCAGAAGCTCTTTTTAACATATTATATTAGGTCCTCACATGGAATGTTGCTTCATGGACACACAGGAATTACTGGTCAGTATTTTGATAGTTTGAAGAATGACAATGAAAGTCTTTCACTGGAGATTTGCAGAATAATGTCACTAGAGGGAAGTTCCTTCCCAAACAACATCAGACACTTAGAACATAATAAGAAATGTAAGAGTTTATATCCCTTACAATTTTCCTAGCTCATAAATGAACAAAACATGGAATCATAGCTATGCAAGAGATCTACAAGCCAAATCCATAGTTTGTTTGTTTGCTTTTTAAAAGAAAATCATCCCTTTCCTTGTGATCCAATCTATAATGCAACAAAACCCAGGCTCAAAATTATAAAGATCTTGCATGCCACTCAAAGCTAGACCTAGCAACATGTTTTAAGTGCAAACTGTTTATGATTTTGTAATTAGATACACAGATGTTTGTCAGTATGAGAGCTGGAACAAAGGATTTACAGGTACCTGATGTGTTCATTATTGACAGAAGCGGAAAACAGAGGTAGCCTCCTCATATGCAGTATTAAGCTCAAAGAGAATTCAATTAGTAATATACTAGAGACGGAACTATCAGAAATTTTATACGTGGTTATGAATTTATATCTGTATGATTTACATACTAGTATCGATAGTACTGTAATTAGAATTACTAGAGTAATGCCTTAATTAGAGTTAGGCAATACCTCATTGTAGGCATCTGTCACTAGCATGCACTGCTAGAATATTCAGAAGAATGTTGTGGAAGCTTCTAGAACATCTTAAAACACTGTAAAACTTTGAGCTACTTTTAAGTATTAGATTATTGGTTCCTTTATTTTGATTTTCTTAGGAATTTGCTACTTTAAAAGCAGCTATGATACAACAGATTAGACTTCTATATATTGTACACCTCTGACACTTAAATTTTTCATACAAATATCTGATTTTTATATTCAAAACTTAAAAATTGCGATATGTCCTTACACTTTTCTTACATAAATAATCATAAAGTGACAGAAGAAAAACCTCACAGCTCTACTGGCCTCTTAATATTTTCATGACTATACAAAAAACATCAGCTACAAAGTCGTTTATTCCTTCACTAGCTAAATATGTACTGTAACTGCTCAATTTCTTAAAACATCATAATGTAATCAAACTGTGAACATACTTAACTCTTGAAAATCTCAGCAAACATTCATCAAGCAAGAATATTTTACAGTAAGCTTTTTTGGTGTTTTTCATTTGAGATTATGATGAACAAACATCATTTAACAGCTGAATGAATGTGTCTATCAATTTTCTATTTTTAGAACAGTCCATTTGCTAAAACTAGGCTCATTTTTAAATATTTTTCTAGCTACAAAAGCTAGTAAAAAAGAACTATGCATATTCTCAGTGGAAAGTATTTCACTACAGTCCGATTAAAACACTAATTTACATCAGACTTCTTTTTAAAGTGACTAGGATAGCAACTGATACAGGATATCAGAAGAACAAACAATTGTTATATTTATTCTGAAGTACACTTCATTCTACAAGCAGTGAGCCAGTAATTCCCACAGAAGACAAAGTAAAGCATAGCTTCGTAGTTCTTACATATTTACTTCTGGAAATATACCTAAAAATTTACAAGCAATGGTAGCTTTTCAGGATCATAACTGATATCAGATTAATGCCCCAAGCAAGTTTAAAACATTGCAGTATTTATTAATTGTAATTTTCAGTCCTCTGACAGTACTGGATTCTACAGCTTGCCTATTTCTTAGCGTAACTATGGTTAATAAAAAACACTCAGCTGACTGCTGCCATATGAGACTGAAACCTGTTCTCAGCTATCAGGCAAAATTATACGTTACTCACTCACAGAAAGCTCAAGTGAACTACTTAGCTTTTAACAGACTTTCAACCAGAACCTTCTTTCCATTGCACCACTGCAAAGAATCTACTCCATTACTGAAGATGAAAACTGGTCCATCACAACATCTACCTTTTTACTTGAAAATTTAATATGTCAGTCCTAACAAGGCTGAAACAGTAGGCTTTCTGCAATCAGAGCTGCAAAATTCTTCATATCTTCATATCTTGTGCTTAATTACAATATTCTTCCTTCAGTCTACATTTTTTTGCACTTCCACATTTTATCATGTAGTGTTTCATTTACCTGTTTGAGGCCTAAAAAAGTTTACAATTTCCACCTATATAATCAATATTGTTTAAAGAGGAACCTAGTTTGTTTACAGAGGAATCTAGTTTGTTTCACAATTGTCATCATAATCTACCACTTGGAGTGGCCTCTAAAAAAAATTTATAGCTTAAAACGCTGGTCAAGCAGCAGACATACCAACACTGCATTATAAGTAGCACAGTGCTGTGAAAAAATTCTCGTGTGTGTTTATAGGAAGAAAAACATTTTAAAGTTTCATATCTTTTCTGCTTAACCAAATTTGTATGCTGAATTCCACAGAAGCCTCTATTATCTGAAGCTGATGAATGCAAAAAACTGAATCAGTTGAACTATAAGATGAAGTTCTCAATTATATATACCACACAGCAATTAATTTGAGGCTGTCAAGAGAGGAAAGTTATCTTAAGAAACAACAGAATTTTTTTAATAATCATGAAGTTGAAAGTGATCTCTGCTTCTTATTTCACAAGATATGGAGAAGCAGGTTAAAGACTATATCTTCACCCACAAGAAGAAAAATTCTGTATGCTCAGTTCAGTAACTTCAATGTTTTGTCTATACTTTAGTGGACATATACAAGCATGAAAAATATTCACTTCCTTGCGTGCTGAAGACACAACATGCTGCAAAACATTAGACACAAAACATTTCAAAGCCCTCTGGGCACACACTTTGCAGATGCTTTGTTTCTGCAAATGGTGAGCTGAAATAATGGTTGGTATGCCATTTTGATTATAATAGGTTTAGAGAGACTTGATGTGTATTTCGCATCCCACTCTGCCAGTAAAATAATTGATAAATGTAAAGCATATTATTTGCTAAACCAGACTTTTCTTTTATTTGTGCAGGCATGATATTTATGCAGGTCAAGCAATACCCATAGGAATAACATAATAGCACCATATGACCTCTGCACAGAGGTCACACATATAGTTTGCACAAGCACAGCATGAGAAAATGATCCAAAAAGAAGGAAATATTGAAGTAAAAAAAAAATCTGAACTCTCAGCTAGGAGATAGTAGTGTATTAATAGCCACTGATTTGGTTGTACATTTAGTGTTCAAATATATGCAAGAATGGGGGAAGAATAACAACTGCTTCTATCATTTTTTTTTCTCCACAGTAGTATTTGTCTATTAAAATAAAAGTCCAGAACATAAAAAACGTTAAGTTCTACCCAGGGAACATGCAACACATCAGGCAACATTTAAAGTCTCTTATGATGCCAGGACATAACCTTCTCCAGGACTGGATATACTTACTTGGAACGTGGGCGTTTCCTACTATTTCCAGGACTATTACTGATGCGGTAAGCTGTTGGAACACTTCTTTCATCTCTCCGCCTTTCTGGTGTGTGAGCCCTTCTCCTGGGTGACCTTGATCGTGACCTGAGCAGGAAAACAAACATCCAAAAGTTTGCTTTTTGTTACTTATTTTATGACTTATTTCAGTGGAATTGTGCTGTCACCAAATGCAAATATAACACCTTTCAAATGCCTATTTATACCCACACAGGGTCTTTAGTCTCCAAGACTTGTCAGTTGCATAAAAATTTCTTACCCATGCAAGACATTTAGGATGTAGTTATCCATTGCTTTTCACTCCCAACAGGAGGAAAAAAAAAAAAGCAATTATTTTTTGGTATTGTGTGCTACTGTCAACTTCTGGATTAGTAGGTGGGAAAGGTTTACTTTGGTCCAGTCACCTTTTGTGGCAGCAGTTTACTAACATTGGTATGCAGAAGTCCAATTTGGCTCAAAGCCTGGTATTGTCAGGCCTGACCTTGTCTTCTCAAATTAGTGATAAGTTTTCAGAACTGCTGCATCACAAAGGTAACTACAAGTTGTTGTTTTCAGCGCATCTCCAACACTGACAAGTCCAGGAAATTTTGTCCCTTGATGCTGCAGAATAATCTTAGCACAGCCAGTATTTTCACCTGTGCAAGTGACCAACAACCCATGATTGGTGTTGTTTGGCACTAGCACTTTGACTTAAGATATTTTGCCTAGAAAAGTGAGAAAGTGAAAGAGAAAGAGATCAAGAGGGAAAACAGAAAGTATGCCCAGTTAAGATCAGAGATCAATTTAAGAGCTCAACTCTTTGTCTCTATGATTCAGAATTAAGTAGATGTGCAAGTAAAACCTGCATATTTCTTGATAACAAAATAAATGGAATGAGGAAAGTCCTGAGAGATGGAGGGAGGGGGAAAGATGAAGAAGAGGGCAATTCAGGAACCCAGCTTGGAAAAAGAAAGAAAAAAAACCAAACCCCAAATCCACCCAAAATTTCTGACAGTAATAGTTAGTTTTGTTCTCACTAAAATATATAGTTCTAATAATTTTACTTTTATTTGCTTATTTATTTTAAAGCCTTTCTTATTTATTTACTATAGGTATGTCATTCCATGTATATCAAATATTCACGTTCTTGAAAATACCTAATTTGCAGTGACTAAAAGACAAGCCATTTGTGAAATCACTGATCTTCTGCAGACTCACACCATATAATACATATACACACACTCCTGAGCCATTTTTCTTACACCTACAACAAAAGAGATAACTGGAAATGAAAAAAAGTAATCACAATGGCAGTTAAGTGTTGCAAATTAACTGCTCTGTCACTTAGAAATCTGATCTTTACCAGGCCATTCAGAAGGATTAAAAAAGGAAAAAAACAACAGATTATAAAGTTTGGGGTCAGTCAGACACCTTGACATTTTACCAGGATTTCCCTCAAAAGAGCTCCAGCAGTCAAATCTTTTCGTTGTCGAAGTTGCCTGATAATTTTCCCGCTCTGTTGCTGCTGCCATTGATGAGCTGCTCAGACTCGGCTCCATGCTCAGTGTCCCTGTGGATGCTGTGAGTCTGTGATACGGAGGCACACACTTCACATTCAGAATAAAATGTCCTAGTTTTGGTATTAACTAGAATCCTGAAAAGGCTCAGTCCCTTAACCAAAAGCTGAACCTTAGTGAAACATGCCTATATGGACCAGCCTAAAAAAAGTCCAAACAATCAGAAAGAAAAAGTCATTAGCTTCATTTTTATGAACTGATGTTTGTGGTTCTACAACATTCTTCCAATCACCAAATGTTAAGAACTCTGGCTACTAGCTTCAAACAATTAAAAACAGCTTAACAGTTTTACTGAAATACATCAATTACTACTTTCATTAGACTGTTATTTCAAAAGGCTCTCTATTCTTTTAAAGTCAGTATCACTTGTGTTTAGTAGGGTCCCAAAAGTTTAAAGAGTTAAAAAGCTTGGCATGTCTCATTACAAAATAGGAATGAAAACTATGTGAATAGACACTGCTTCACCAATAATGAGAAAATCATTTTGGAAGGAGAAAAAAAACCCCAAACAACCTTTTTTTCAACAGAGAACAGCTACTTGCAAGTCTCTTAAATTCCTAACATTGAGGCAAAAAGTCTCACACAAACACACACACAGGTGTACTCTAATCAAACTTACTGAAACGTAACCTGTTAGTACAATATGCCACTGCTAATTGCTGTTTGTAACTCATTAACTGGATAAGTGGCTTAGTACTACTCTATTACGAGACAGTATAATAAAAAATGATCAGTATCAAAGAGAAGTTCAGATTTTCCATCTCTACGCTAGTTCAAAATGAACATCCAAACTTCATCTAACCCAATCTCTAAATCATTCAGTATGCACTGAATGGCTCTGCTTCCCTTCCCCTCCTCTCAAATACACACACAAACCACACTCACACACTCATCATTAGCTTAGATCATGTACTACAAAGGTCTATTGGTAGAAAACTGAGATTCAGATGAGCATCCTCATTATTTAAATCTCCTGCAAACCAGCTGTGAAACCCAGCTTCTCAGCTAGAACAGCACTCTGAAAACTCGAGACTGACAACCTACACTTTTAAAGAGCCCCACTAGCAGGTACTTTTCACAGCAAACTTTTTAATGGTGCTTTGAAAATTAGGAAAAAAAACACATTAATGAAGCATTTGCTACAGATGACTGAAAGATACCAAAGGCTGTTTCCCAAGGCAGATTTAACAAATATGCTCCATCTTTGACATTAAGTACATATTTGTAATAACTAATTATCGTTTGGGGATTAACAGCTCCAAAGAAATTCAAGCTGCAATACCTTACAGCATTTCTGGACAAGGTTTACTATTTCTATGACTTCTGTTTAAGTTTAAGCTGTCATTTTGGTCTAGAATTAACACTATACAATACCAGGAGCTTTATGGGACTAATTTTGTTCCAGAAATTTTGTTCCAGAAAATAACATGCATTTATACAGAGAATTGCTGTTAGCACACCATATGCACAATTAAGCCATTATATCTGGGTTCCTTAGGTAGCTACAATTTTTCAAACTTGTTTCTGTAAAATAGTTTTAGTTGTGCAACCCAGAAAAATGAATATCCAAAACATGCTTTGAATCAGCTTCATGTTATCTGAACAGAATTTTTCATCTGTAATACTGCTGAAGATGCATTAGAAAATATAAAAAAAAAAAGCAACACTACTAAAATTGTATCTTAACACTAAAGACTATTTTAAAATGAAGCAGAGCCTCTAGACCTCTAAACACAAAAATAAGTGATAAACAAGTGATATAAAATGGTATACAGAGAAGTATATTGCAGAGTTCATCTGTAGGATTTCTAAGCACAATACGCATTTTGTAAAAAAAATGATACTCAAACCAAAAAGGAAGAGCTTGAAAAGTATACTGAACAACACTTGAATAAAGAGCAAAGAAAATTACTGCAAATTTCTGTATTTAACTATACTCCCATGTCTCATTCCCTATTAACTTGTCACAGTAAGTTATATGGTAAAAGCAATTTTTAATCTTACTTTTTGAAACAACTTATACCTTAGATAGTAACTATTCAATGTGTTTTTAAACAGAAGCTCAACTAATGTCTATATGGAAACCTCACAAAACCTAAGGCTTTATGACTGCTCCCCAAATACCACTGCATGTGTTGAGTGGTCATTATTACAGTTTAGAGATTACAATTCACTATCAGCTGCATGCAATACAGTCTAACGAAAAATTATGAAATAAACATAGCTCCTCTTTTGGCTGTCACAGTTAACTTAAATATAATAGTTTAAAGAACTATTCAAATCCAAAATACTTATTTTCACTGTGCAGATACGTCAAACCTAATAAGCTACTCTCTAAGAAAGTTATGAAAATTTATTAAGAAAAAGATCTTGTTTGTCATTCTAAATTACTTGATTAACAGGAACTGCAGCAGTAATTTCTACAGAAACGGAAAATTCCAGCTTTTTTTCAGTCCACACTTGAGGTAAAATAAAGCATCAATAATCAGTTTATACTTGAGATTTGTAGGTTAGAATATGCATTTTGAACAGATTAAAATAAGGCAACAAAATCTCAAATGCATAATATTAGACTGAGACATTCAAACAAAGCAGTTACTCAAAATAGGGATGTTCCAGTATAATTTAGCATTGATGTCTACACAATAAAGACTTTCTCTAAGCACAGTCCATTTAATATAGGATGAACACATTAACCTCTACAAATAAATAGTTTACACTTTATCCCAGAAGGGTATAGCTCTTTCTGTAACTACTCATTCAGTGGTAAGCTGTAACATCCAATGTTTTGGGAATCTAGGGAAAAAAAACGCTGTTCTAGATGAAGCACTGGGAAAACTGAAGAGCAAAGAGATGTGAAAAGTGCCATGTTTTGAATGAGACAAGACAATTCATGAAAAGAATTTTCTCTGAATCAACACTAGATATATAAATAAATTTTAAAAAGAAAAAGAAAAAAGTACTCCTATCTTCTAGCTAGGCAACATTTGCCTTTTTTTGGCAATTACTAAGACAAGACATTGTTTTTACCTAAACATTTGAGAGACAAAACACATCAGTATCTGACTGGGTTATGAATCAGCCTCCCACTCTTCATTCTCTACAAATTTTCCAGTTTCAGGAGCAAGAGCTTTAATTTTGGAAATACAGTGGGTATGTTAAAGCATAGCAAACACCTTCAATAAAGCAAACCTTCAATCAACACTATTTCTTGTATAAAGTGAGACCACATGGACCCTAATTAGAAAGGTAGGGCTAGAAAAGACTTCAAGAAATAAGACTACTCAATATTCTCCAAACTATAATTCTTGATACAGAAACTTCTCACAATGGAGTGTTCATAAGCTGTATTACCACCTTTACCACTGAGACACTATGAAAAGCTTTCTAGTCTGTTATCATTTTAAACCCATTACTTATTGTCCAAACCCCAAGGACTGAAGAAGAATGTTCTCTTCCCTGATTTTTGGTGTACACGAAGACTCATTTCATCTTCCTTCAGTCCTCTGAAATAGTCATTCCAACTATCTCCTTTTTTTAAATTCTGAAAATTTTTGATGATTCCCTCTAGACTTCCTCCAGCTGGTCTAATTTCTTCCAAAGAATGCACAAAACTGGACACAGTACTCTAGCTGAGGCCAAACAGAACATCTTCCAGGTGAGGAGACGATGCATCCTGCATAAGACTTGCTTATTTTTACTCACTATGTTAAAAGTAAACCAATACATTCCCTATATTAAGTATCAGCTGCAGGAAAAAGGTATTCATCACAGTTGAATTACAAGAGGTCCTTGGGCAGAAGTTTAGATTTAGCCATATTCTTGTGAAATGGTATAGATAGGAAGGTACATTCAGATTTGTAACAGGTCTCCCACACGATATAATTGCCACTGAAAGCATTTCATATGGCCTGTGAAAAGCTGAAAGGGAATGGGCACCCACTCAGCACTGATGATACTGCCTTAAGTTCTGAGAAATTTTCTGAATGGGAGAGCGAGCCTCCAGAGACCTTTGCTTAAACTGGTGCTTGCAGAACAGAGACAGGATGAATGGGAAGCCCTGTACTGTTCAGCTTTAACTTCTGTCAAGCATTACAATGTGCAAAATTGCAGTTGCTCTGAAACAATCTTAAAATTCAGCTAGCCAGCATCAATCTTACTGGACTTTTAAGGCTGTAGAACTCAACAGCTGATCTAGGAAATCCAACCAGATTTAATCAGGTGTTGATTCATGTTGTTAAAGCTTTTATGTGTTTGTTATCTGATTTGTGCCAGGAGGCACACTCCAGATGGCACACAAAGATTAGCTACAGTAGATTAACTATTCGTGGTGATTTTTGTGTACTTTCTCCATCACTTGAACTATGGCCACGAAAAAACCCCAACCAAAACATGAGACTATCTACTGTGTATGTGTAAGACTGTTGCTTTTCTTTTCACCAGCAGAACCCAATGCAGACCAACTGGTGGAAGTATTCAAGCCTCTATAAAGGATCAGTTATCTTTCTGAAGTCACTGAAGACATATCTTAGTATACATCAAACTGACTTGAAAGTTATCTGATTACTGCCCAATGCAAACTCATGCATCATGCAGGATTATCTTTATTCTATTGAGTAGCATACCCAAGTACTGGCAAGATCTTCTCAGATTCTTTGTCCTTTTCAAGGTACCACAGAAGATGATTTAATTTTTTTTTAGCATTACTACAATGTTTCTCCTTGGTTTTACCATGTATCAATAAACTAATGCATAAATATATGCCACACAGCTTGGATGAAGTGACATGAGAGGTTCAAGTTAAGATATGGCTTGACAGAGAGTTGAAAAGATGAGTGATTCACCTGAAGAGACTTTTCTCCAAGATACTTTTAACTCTGAAAAGACTTGTATTCACTTCTTAAACAAGGAAAGCTTCATTCAGCGTCATACCCTTTATGTGCTGGTAAGCACAGACAAGGAATGGCACACCATATTTTGGAATGTGCCTCATAGCACAGAGCATCATGACTGCCTGTTGTCAAAGAAGCAGCATGTCAGACTGAGCATTCCAGCCTGAGTTACATTAATTTAACTCCCTGCATCTTTGAATAGCAGAGATGTCTTCAGCAAAGTATCATATTTAACCTTAAAAATCTAGTATAAAATAAAAAGCTGTAATATATTAACACTTATATTAGTGTAGTTAGACACTTTGTTAAACAAAAAAAAAAATGGACAAGGAAAATATATGATAAGAAGTTTTGTCACACCACCATAAAGGGCTAGAAGCTGCTTTTCAGGAAGAAGCGTATGTCATAGGCATGGCCACACAGGTAAAAAAATGGATGAGTTTGCATGCATCACATACCTATATAGCTGTGGTACTATTTATACATACACTTCTTTTGAACTAAACACTGTTCTGAAGCATGATCCACAGAATACAACATCAAGACACCCTTCCTGCTGACCACAATAACTGCTATATGGCAGCGCATTCAGATATGGCAAATTTTACAGACCATAAACTTCAAAGGTGCCTAGACCCAAATATCTTAGATATAATTAACAGTGTTAACACTATATATATTATCTTATAGTTGGATAATTAATATAGTGAATTTAATCTCATTAATGATTAGTGTTAACTGCACTGGGCTACATTCTTCTATGGTCTCTCTTCCTCATCAACTCTGTTTTCACCCTTCCTGGATTCATGTTATATCTCTCCTGACATCCTATTTTTCCACATACTACCCAACTGCTTTCTCCCCTGGGCTTTGTTGTTCAACCAGCAGGTTCTCTACCTCTATTTCTAATCTTAATATTGTCTGGTTACTCTGCTCCACCAACAGCCACAGACTTATTAGGAAGTTCCTGCTATAATTACATTCCTACATATTATCGCCAAGTATTTTACAGACTGGAGTGAAAAAGCATTCACTGTTACAAATTTTGCAATATGTAATTAGAAATTAACGATTCATTATTTCATTAAAACTATTTTCAAAAGACCTTCCACATTTGATGACATTTATTTACTATTCTCAAGGTTACTATAGCCTTTGTAATGGGTACGAAGATGCTTACGTAATGGAAGAAGTGCAGAAATGTTTTAAATGTTAGCCCACACAGAACTCTAAAGATTATGTTTGGTTTCCAAACCCACCTTGAATGTCTGACAGTTCTATAGGCAGTGGGAAGTGAGTGCTTTGCTTTTGAGTGTGATCTAGATCTGGACTTAGAAGATGAATGATACTTGAATGGTGATCGAGATCTTGTCCGAGATCTTTTCTTGTGTTTTTTTCTTTTCTTTTCTTTTTCTTCATCCCTAGGGAGATCTCTGCTTTTGCTTGAAGGCCTTTCTGCTTGTTTAACTTCTAAGGTGGGTAAAGTTCTGACTGCAGTCACAGGACATGGTATGCTATTGACACTCTGAAATCAAAGGTAAACAAAAGAACAGTGTTAAGTTTTCAAACTTGCATGCAAACTTTCAATTTGAGAAAGTCCTATAAGTGTGGACAACATGTAAACATTTCTAGTTCTTTATATTAAACAGAGGGCTACATCTATTCCTGTGCATACCACATACAAGAACATTCTGCCAAAGAAACTTAAGATATCTTGCTTGGTAGTCTTGCCAATATACAATATAGGTTTTTTGCAGAAATGCTGGATAACGAATACAACAGAAAGGCAAATAATAAGTAACAATCACCTTACATTTTTTGACTCATGGAAGTGTCTGAGAAATACATCCATCTTAAGAAAGTAGTTGTTAAATCAATAACATTCTAACCTCCCACGAATGCTTTAAAACCTCACAGTGCTGAATATTATGTAAAGTGTGTGTAAGTAAGGCTGACATCTTCAAAAACATGCATCTAGTAGTATTTAATGGAAGCATATACAGTTCCCCAAAGATACACATTCAAGTTGGGATATGCATGCTAAGACTGTCAGCCTAACTAGAACATAGTCCTGAAGTTTTCATCTTTAGTTTTTACAAGAAATGTTTTAAAAAATGGGTACTATCAGATATACTTATCTGATCTATTTATTTATTTTAGTTAAAAAAAAGGATGAACCTGAAAATACAATCAGGAACTACTGACATTCAAAGTTAAGTTTTAGTGACACTTTCATCCCTGAACTGTATTGTTTAGATTACATCAAGGAAAACAGTAAAATGAATTAGTGCCAATACAAACTATTTCTGTACTTGGCAAAATAAATGTTTTGCATGTAATGGGTTGGGAAGATCACAAAAATTATTAATCTCTAAGACAGAACAGATCCATGCACAATTCATGTTCAGTGAGTAATTCTGACTGCAGTCAGTTAAGCAAAACATACCATACAAAATTTTCAAATTATGTCTTATACCTGAGAGAATTCTGCTCAATACCTTATTTAGAATAATACAAGTTGGGCACTATAGATACGCTACTCATTTCAAAGCCTGTCATTCCCCCAGATGCCATTCCAAGGCAACTAGAGAAATCTGTTTCCCTCTGTCATAAGTTCTGCTCCACCTGGTCTGACACTTCCACTGTTTGATACAAGGATGCTTATCGTGGTTGGAATAAAAAGTAATACATTAAAACTTGAAATATCCAAGTTTGAAACAGGTGATCTTTTTCCTTTCTTTTTACCCTTCTCCTACTGTGAACATGTCAAGGCAATAAATGACCAGATTTGAATAATCATAAATCCCGCTTTGCTTCAAGGTAGAGAGCCACAACACTTTTCTGAGCTTTAACTGGTAACTGCTATCAAAATATTTAGAAAAACAGCAATAAAGCAGTACTAAAGTAGTTTGCTTCAAGGATTATAAACATTTTATAGAATGATCATTTGAGTGACTGGTTTATCAGAGGCCCATTTGCAATTTCACTAACTTCACAATCCACATGTAATTGCAGGCACCTCATCTCAAAACTTCAGAATCTCCTAAGAGACCACCACAGCTGATTTTTGTTCCTTGACAATGTTATTCATTTCTTTATACAGCATCTTAGTCTTTGCTTTGAACAGTACTGAATATGTAATAGACCGCTTCGCCTTGAAGTAGGCACCTCTAATAGCTTGAAACGAAATAGCTGTAGGCAAAGTAGAATTAAGAGGAAAACAAGAGAGCGAAGAAAAAAAATCAACACTTTTCTGCACCCAAGTTCATCTGGCTGCATAAAGCATCATACCACTGCCAAAAAGGAAATTAATTAATGAATGACACATTTATTTTTAGCTGACACATAGAAGATTGTCTCAGAAGAACCCCACAATGCTAAGCACCCCTGGATATCCACCAAAAGCATCAGATGCTGAAGCCATGGGCTCTCCTTGACTTTCAGGACACCTACACTAGAGTCACAGTGCTGTCCAGGTATCTCTGGGAAAAGCACAGCTGTGGGCTGACTGGCTGTAGATTCAGACACCACTGCTTCAGCTTACTAATGAATCGTGTTTGGAAAGCCATGCAGAATATGCATAGAAGCATACCCCCAGGTGAGTAAGTAGGATCTGTAGTTCAAGACAACAGCTAACAGACAGGGCGAAGTCACCTACCCCACAAACCCACACAACACAGCACTGCAACCAGGCGCTCATGGGACAGTTGTCAGGTCGCAACAGCATGATCAACTGTGAGCAAATGTGCTCATTCCCTCAGTGGCAACTCTGGTTGCCTTCAAGAAGAAAAAAAAAAAAAAAAATCACCAAAAAAATGCTCTGATTCATCATCTGAGTAGAACATAGAGCTCAGTGAAAGAACATCAGCAAGTTGCCAGGCCACAAAGAAAATTTCTAGGTGTATAAATAATGCTGCTGAATAAAAACATTTGGAAAAAAATAAACTGTCTTAGTGTCTGGCAAATACAAGAAGTTGCCAGTACTTTGTGTTTTCATCAGCAAAAGCTCATCTAGGTAAATTAAGATAATGAGATTTTAAATTGGAGGCATGAATGCAGGAAATAAAAAAAAAAATAATCTCAAAGCAAGCACAGATACTAGGAGATTATTAAGCATTTCCAAAAGGCAGAAACACTGTTTTACTGACCAGACTCTGCAAATCTGCAGGCCAGTAGAGAACAGATTTGTAAAACTTGGCAACAAACTATCTGATGAATTTTATTATTATCCTGAGGGATGAGAGATTTGAATTTTTTGAGATCTCTTCTAAGAAGTTACACTGCAAACATTCAGATAGCATTCACTGAATCTCACTACTTTGTCCATTTTGGGTAACAACACATTTTTTAGCCCTTATTAAAGACTATCGTTTCAGACAATTTCACTGACAGAGTTGTTCTTTAGCATTTTATTTGCATGACTGAAGCAAATCCAACTAAAATAATGCTTTTTACAGTAAACACTTGGTATAAAAAATGTTTCAGAGATACCTTTTGGGAAAACAAGGATGATTCAACAACTCTTGTTTAGCAGGAATGGGTTAGGAAAGATGTCTGTATCAGGAAAAATTTATAGCTATACGAGTACAGAAATGAGCACTTCAGTTCATTACAAGACATTTGCATATTTGCAGTATTCATGAGACCAGAATACACATTAGTTATTCTGGGGTTACACTACTTAATCAGCACACAAAGCCAACATTAGCAGTGAACTTAAAGGTGCTTAATGCAACAGAACAAAACACTAGCATTGCTCCTGCTATAAACAAAATCAACTGGTAAAGAACATTATCAATAACGTTACTAACACTTTTACAACTGGCTAATATTTTTTCCTGTTTTTTCCTGCTGAATTTTGCACTAATTTGAATCCTATGTTAGATCAAAATTGAAAAGGGTGAAGAATTAAGCAACAATCCTTTTACTTCATTCTTTTCTACCACCATATCTTTTTTTTACCGCAGGTTTCCCAAAGCTTTTGGTGAAGTATTCCCTGATTGAGAATTAATAAGCAAGTGTCTACCAGCAATGGAAACGTATGATTGCTCTGTGCATCAAAGAGAGCAGCTACTGCTTTTAGAAGTTTGCCAGTCCTAGCCTCAATAAATTGACCCAAAATGATTAAATAGAAGTGATAATAATACTTCCTATAGAACAAATTAAATACTCAATACTCAAAGACTTTCATCAGGGTTTAGCTGCTGCACTGAAATACAGCGATTAACACAACACTGACCATGGTAAGCTCTTCAAAAACAGACAGAAATTTGCATTCTCAGTTTTGAAGGGCCAACTGTAAAGAAATTAGCAGCTGTGAATCTGTTTGCAGTATGGATCAATATGCCTTTGTATCTTAAGTACTTTGAAGACTAAAGATCAAGGCATAGAACATTTATAGCTCCCTCACCTGTCTTAATTAAAGTTGGCAACTCATGATATTTACCTTTTTTTCACCTATCAAATATTAATTAAAGTATTTACAGCATGAGGAACTGCAACTCTCATGTAGTTTTTAATAGTAGGGTTCTTACAATAAAAGTTCCAAATGCCAGCAAGCTATCCACTCCCCAAATTCCGTATTAGTAAGCAACATTTTGTTTTATGTTTTGTCTTTTTGAAAAAGCAACATAAGGAAAATTTATATACAAACACACACCCCTTCCATTCTAAACAAAAGATACTGATACCTATATTCCGAAAAAAAAAGTAAAGAAAGAAAAGAACGGCCTGAAAGCATTTTTTCTTTAAATACTTATTGGATGGATTTCATTATAGACAATTACATTTTGCTCACAAATTAACAGTAAGAAAATATGTTGGGATAAAATTATATGTTATTATTCTAGAGAGGTATGTACTAATATCTACAGTTCATTGCTAAAAAACAGTAGGATCAACTACAGCACTGTGAAAGACAGACACTATCCACAGTTGTTGATAACCCTGTTATGCTTGGCAAAACTTGAGTAGCATCTTATTTTTAATCATGGCACACTTCTCTTTCACTCGTAAACAGACTACTTTTCACAGAAAAAAAAAAAAATTGTTACATACAGGACAAAAGTAAAAACAAGCCATCTAAAGAAACAAACGATGAAACAGGGCTTCAAAATAGGGAAGATGAAAGAGTCAGAAAAAGTTAAGTTTTACTTTGTACTACAGAAGCACAATGGCTGATGACATTTGGGACAAAGCCATTAAAATAGAGTTACTTTCAAATCATGTGATTGTCTGGTTTTGCAGGTTTATGATTGTAGATTTCTTTCCTTGTTTAAATCTAAGGTTTATACAAGTAAGAGTTTGGATATAACCAACTGTCTTTTACATGCATATCGAAGTACTATCCCCCCTAAAACATTTCAGACATAGGATAAAATACGAGAGATTAGCAGAATGTTCCGTATTAGAAACCCACCAGGCACAAGAAAAACAAAACAAACATACCATCTTAATGTGAGCTCTTCCAATGTCTAATCTACTTAATTCAGGTTTTGGTAAATATATATAGGAATGTACACAACT